TCCACATGTACCTTGCCACGTGTGTTTCAGCTCCGATGTTTTGCTAAAGACGATGACATCGTCCAAGTAAATTAAACACGAATCCTATTGTAAGCCCGCCAAGACCAGTTCCATTAACCACTGAAAAGTTGCCGGCGCAGAATGTAAGCCCATCGGCAAGCGGTTAAATTGGAAAAGGCCGTGCGGTGTACGGAAAGCCGTCTTAGGTTTAGATTCGTCATCCAGAGGAAGCTGCCAGAATCCAGAAAGTAAATCCAGGGTGGAAAAGAATCGCGCCCCCGCCAAGGCATCAAGCGACTCATCCATTAGAGGAAGCGGGTACGCGTCGGCTACTGAAATTTTGTTCAACCGGCGAAAGTCGACACAAAACCGCAGTGAGCCGTCGTGTTTTTTCACCAAAACGATCAGTGCGCCCCACGGGCTGTTGGAAGGAGATATGATATCGGTGGCTAGCATGTCGTCAACGGCCGATTTGACATGATCCTTTTCGGCGGGACTCAACCGAAAGGTATTTTGGCGGATTGGCGCGCTGTCACCCGTGTCAATATGGTGTCGCAGCAATTTAGTACAACCAATATCAAATTTGTGTCGACTAAAAACGTCGGCAAACTCCTTCAGGAGAACTCGCAGGCTCTCACGCTGTGAGTCGGACAGGTCCACTGATCCCGCGCAAAGCGCATCCAGCCATCCGTCATCACAGTCAGAATGTGGTGACGACGGAGCATCGGTGCTCACCTGACCCACGAGAGGTTCCTCATAGGGTGCCGGTGTTGCGTGTGCAAGCACGGTCCCTTGAGGAACCACGGCCCTTCGCGATCCCACATTAAGGACTGCAATGAAGGGGTCCCCATCCCCTTTCACCATGGTCTGAGCCGCTATCAAATCGGGTCCATTGACCCCGGCTCGAGATGGTCCCAACAAGACCCCCCGATCCGCAACCCCCTCAGCAAACGGCCGACGCAACCTAAGAGGGACGAGCATCTGAGCCCCCGGGGGTACGCGCACAGTTTTTGCCACGAGCGCCTGCATGGTCGCAAACGCCCGACGCTCCGTGGCGGGGGAAGACAAAAATGTAACACGTCGGCCCGACGGGAGCTCGATGCACCCCTGGTCGATCAAGATACGAATGGGCATTTTGGCCAAGAAATCCGTCCCCAACAGGCACGGAACCGCCAGTGAGGAGGAAACCAAAACAGGGCCGGATAATTTAATGTCTCCAATGCAAATTTTGGCGCGGATTTGCCCAATGATGGCCAGCGAGCCCCCGTTAGCAGCATAGCATGGCATGTCAGCGGGGAGCAAGGGACGGCTTTGAACGGGAAGGATGTTATAAATCAAATCAGATATAATGGTCGCCGATGCCCCTGTGTCAATTAAAATCCGCACCTCTACCCCATCAATATGACCGACCACAACCGATGATCCCGCCGACGCAGCAACGACACGATGGGCGAGCTCCGACCACTGACCCGGTTGGAGCGCTCGCCGCATTTCAGAACAATCGCGCGCGACGGACGGCGATTTTCGAGCCCTGTTTAGTTGAGCGCGCGAGTGTGTGTCGGATGTGTGCATGGGCCAAACGTGTGAGGTGCCACGACTCGCCGTATTTCTCTGCTGGAGCTTGGGAGGAGACGGCGTGGCGTCCTGACGAGGTGTCGCCCCGCGCTGACGGGGAGCCCGGCATCCTGACGCAACGTGGCCTTGTAGGCCACAGTTGTAGCAGCGTGTGAGCGCCCCAGATGGCCTGGGCTGCTCCTGGCGGCTCGGTCCATTCCGAGCCTGTGGTGCCGCCGATCTCCATTCCCCTCGCCGCTCAACCCCGCAGACCTCCTCCGATGGGAGGGCGGTGGCCGCCATGGCATGGCCGGCCGCCCCCTTGGCCGCCTTTCGACGTAGGGACCGCAAGCCCCCGTGGATGTGGCGCGCGACCAGCAGGGACGACATCTCTGCGTCGTCTTGAGCCAGGACGTTGACGTCCAGCTCATCAGCGAGTAGCAGCAGCTTCTCAGCCACCATGGCATCCACTCCTTCCTCGTCCATCCGTGGAAAAGCAGCCTTCGCCAGGGCCAGGAGAGCCGTCCGGAAGGCCAGGGGCGATTCGTTGGCGCCCCGATGCCGATCGTGGAACAGCTGCCTGCAGTCCGAAGGCGGCCCATAGACGGCTGACAGCAGCTGCAGCGCCAGGTGCAGAGTGGCGCGCTTTTCCTTAGGCGCCGAGGTGAGGGTAGCCAGGACGTCGTTGTCCAGCATCGCCGGCAGCGCGCGTAGAGCCTCGGCGTCCGACCAGTTCGCCATCTCTTGATGAGCGATGAACCGCCTCTTGAAGCCGCCCCAGTCTCCGTCCGCGCCCACGAATTCTTTGAGAGGCGGCAGACGCTGCTGTAACGCGACGTCCGTGGCTGCAGATCGCTCTCCGTCGCTCCCAGCAGATGATACAGTGTGGGCGGGCTGTGAGCATGGCATCGCCGGTCGCTCTGATGTTGACGTGCTGGCCGGTGTTGATGATGTCACGGCTTGTGCTTGGCGCTCAGCAGTCACCTGACGCGGGCCGGCCCCGCCCTCTGCTCGCACTGTAGTGATGGCGGGAAATTTAACCGCGAGCCGCGTCGGGGTGGCAGGAAACGTCGCCCCGCGCCGGCTGCCGTCGTCGACCCGCGCTGCTCCTCCAGCCCCCAGCCGCGTGATCTCCTCCAACGCGGCGGCCGCGGCGTAGAGCAACTCCGCCAGGCGGGAGTGAGTCAGCCGGAGTCCTTCGGCCGACGCATCCCCTCCTTCCTGTCGTAGCAGCGCGGGCGTACTCGGCCCTGGCTGCTCCGATCCGACCCCGGCCATCTCTGGTGGTGATTCGGCCGTGGCGTCTTCTATCTCCGACTCCCTGGTACGTGTCGTCCCTCGTGTGTCCATCGTTGAACGTTTTACTTCTGACGCCAGATGTAGTAAGTATGTAGGAGGCTTGACGACAGGATCGGAGGCACACTTGTTTATTACACCAACTTGTGCATACACAGTAATTACGGGTCACTTGGCTACAGGGATACACAACAGCTAACCCCGCTAACCTATGCCCAAGTCCTCCACTACGGAGCTAGGGGAGGCTATCTATCCCAGCCCTGGTCAAGCTGGGATCCCGGCACCCTGAGTCTCCAGACCTGCTCGTCGGTCTGGGCTCTCGGGGCCACGCCACCGGCTTGCCCTGGTCGGCCCTTATAAGGACAGCGAGCCAGGGGAGCTCTGGGGCCTATTCTAGCAGGTCTTCCTTCTTCTCTGGTTAAAGCTGAGCTCCCACCTCGAGCCCTCCGGCTCATCACCTTTTATAGGACTCGGCCCCCGGGAGGGGCCCGTGGGGGATGCAGGTGCGGACGTCGGTGTGAGCACCCCCCCTGTGTACGGCCCTAACCCCGCCCCTTGTGTTTGTTAGCCATCCGTGGCCATGCACAATTACACCTCTACATCCGTGGCCATGCACAATTACACCTCTACAGAGGCACAATGATAAACAATATCGCAGTCATCAAATTAAGACATTATGGTAACCATTACCAACTCTAAATGGAGCGTAGCTGGGAAACAATGTTTGTGTCTAAAGAAATACAGTTTTTATTGTTTCAGTCTTCCCAGTGTGGTCATTGCATTATTAAAAACAAAATTTAGGGAGTTTGTATTCTTCTTATGGAAGCTTGATATGGTGTCGTGAAAGCGTTTTGTTTTCGAGGGGAATGTTCAGTGTTTTTAAGACTAAATTTCGATTTAACGCTTTCGTGACTGCAGGGATTCATCTTCTTGGTTCTTTCGGTGAAGTCACGTAGAAGGGAAATAATAAAATAATAATAATATATAATTATCGCGACGTTTCAGCCACAACGCAAGCAGCCGTCCTCAGGTGAAGAACAGGTCTTAGAGTGGCGGCATCTCTTCAGAAAGGTGAGAGACTCGATTAGCTGAGCCTCCTTATCCCGGAGTTTGCTGAAGAGATGCCGCTACTCTAAGACGCTGTTCATTACCTGCGGACGGCTGCTTGTGTTGTGGCCGAAACGGCGTGAGAATTATTTTATTATGTTTAATTTTTATTATTTTATTATCTCCATTCTACGTGACTTTACCGAAAGAACCAAGATGAATCCCTGCAGTCACGAAAGCTTTAAATCGAAATGTTATGTTTATTTTTATTATTTTATTATGTTTCATGTTTATTATTTTATTATGTTTTATTATTATTTTATTATTTCCCTTCTACGTGACTTTACCGAAAGAACCAAGAAGATGTTTTTAAGACGTCGTGCGTAGACCGAACGCTTCATTGCCCACAGAGAACACGGCGCAGGCACCCACCAACAAACAGCTGACGCGCAATTTTATTCCGTGGCTTTGAAACCGTTGAACATTCTCGTTCCGTTAATTAAAATAACCACGGCGATGTTTCTCCACGCACCGTCAAGAACCCCCCCCCCCTCCATCGTCACACGGCGTCACAAAAAGTCAGACCCCCCCCCCCCCTCAAATATGACGTCACCGACATTAGAGCTCGTTGCACCCTTCTCAATGAGCATCTCGTAGTCATTAAATACTCGTAGATTCATTCTTACTAGACAATGGCCTGATATGCAGAGGAAAAAACCCCACAGCATTGAAATTCGTAACGTGGTAAAACTCCCACAGCCAAACGGTAAACAGCGTGAACTTCTGTAGCGCTGCACGTGTGTTATTGTCATCACATCGCATACTGCATGGCAGAGCAGCAGGGTGGCGTTATTAGCGCGGATGGTAAACTGAGAAAAGAGGCTCACAACAATTGTACATTTCGATTTAAAGCTTTCGTGACTGCAGGGATTCATCTTCTTGGTTCTTTCGGTAAAGTCACGTAGAAGGGAAGTAATAAAAAACGTCTTGAGAATTATTTTATTACGTTTTATTGTTATTATTTTATTACTTCCCTTCTACGTGACTTTGCCGAAAGAACCAAGAAGATGAATTGTACATTTGCTAACAAACAAAAGTGTGCAGTTGCGATGAGAAAGGCGTGTAGAATTTCACAACAAAAAAGAACGGGCAAAACATTCCAAAGTGGAACCATCAAACAAACTAACACGACTTCAAAAGTAGGAATGGCGATCAGAAGGCTAAATTCCAGATCCTCGTGACTGAAGCACTGCAAAAGGCGGAAAAAAGCGAGACAGGGCAGGCATGAGATCACAGTGGACAAGCAGGGTTCCAGGCCAACCGCAGGGGTCAATCCGTGTTGCTGCGTTGACATCTCCAGTGGGTGAAGGTGACGTCCACATCTCCAGCTGACGCGCGCTACTTTCAGCCGTGCCGTGCGTAGGCCAAGCCGCCTGTGTCAATGCCCCTTGAAACACCTCGCCCAGTCACCGAAAATGTAAGGTACGCTACATTTCGATTGAAAGCTTTCGTGACTGCAGGGATTCATATTTTTGGTTCTTTCGGTAAAGTCACGTAGAAGGGAAATAACAAGATAATAAAAATAAAACATAATAAAATAATTCTCGATTTAAAGCTTTCGTGACTGCAGGGATTCATCTTCTTGGTTCTTTCGGTAAAGTCACGTAGAAGGGAAATAATAAAATAATAAAAATAAAACATAATAAAATAATTCTCGATTTAAAGCTTTCGTGACTGCAGGGATTCATATTCTTGGTTCTTTCGGTGAAGTCACGTAGAAGGGAAATAATAAAATAATATTAATATAAAACAATAAAAATTCTCACGACGTTTCCACTGCAACACAAGCAGCGAGCGTCATCAGGTGTGAAGTCCACAGCAAGAACATTTGAAAAAAGTTAGGAAAAACAACCGACACTTTTTTCAAATTTTCTTGCCGTGGATTTCACACCTGATGACGATTGCTTGTGTTGCATTCGAAACGTGAGAATTTACTAGTTTTATATTTATTTTATTATTTCCCTTCGACGTGACTTTACCGAAAGAACCAAGAAAATGTACGCTACATTGTTTAAATCTACATCAGTGGTTCTTAACCTGGGTTCGACCGAACCCCAGGGGTTCGGTGAGTCAGTCTCAGGGGTTCGGCGGAGATTAAGACACACACCTGACTCATGATTGTGCACGAGTAAAACATATACCTATGTTTTGAATTTGAAAAAATCATATTTTATTTTTCCAATTAAGAAGGGTTCGGTGAATGCGCATATGAAACTGGTGGGGTTCGGTACCTCCAAAAAGGTTAAGAACCACTGATCTACATGGACCCCCTGATGATACCATTTAAGCCGATGTATTCGGACGTACACGGCAGAGCAGATTTCACACTGCACTCACTCATCATGCATGTCCTCGGTGTCCATTCGCCGGTAGTTTTTTGCCAGCCTCATGGCAAAAATGATGCTCGGGACTAGAAACACCGTCGCCCAACCGAGGCCAAACCAAAACACGTTCTGAAAGAAAAGAGACGAGGCAAACACAGTAGCGTTGACCGCACTGTCGGGGCAAGTGCTATTTGCGAGCCCCTATTAAGGCTAGCATGACATACACGAGAGGGGGTGGGTGGCCAACACCATGCCTAGGCCACCTTTGTCTTCCCAGTGCTGATGGCATGCATTTAAGGCTGAGTTGACCAACGGGAGGTCCGGGACCAGTTCAGATAGTCGTCACCGATGTTGTCTGTAAGCGGGAATCGAACTTGGGTCACCGGGTTGGTAGCGCAGTGTGCTAACCGCAGGAAATAATCTAGCTTCCTCCAAAAAGTATCATTATTTATCATTCAGAAAATGTCCCAATGCAGGAAGAACCCTTGTGCCAAATGCTACTCTCTGGTACACAACTCAGAAGCGTCTCCTCTCACCAGCGAGTCCATCACGTAGCTGCACACAATGATGTCTACAGAGTCAACCAGGTTGGAGAGGGGCTTGCAGGCGCCCACCTTGTTGGAAATCTGCACAAAAGAGTGGAGGAACTTAGCGGACACACAAATCGATTTCCGTCTGAGAGGTCTTAGAGCTCGCCACATTCAACCAACTCACATGTCAAGTTCATGTATTAGGTAGAGCCCTGTGAGCTATTCGGCTCTTGAATCGGGTGCAACCGCAACAAACAAAAAACAAAAACATGAACAAGAAAACATCTTAAAGTGACTATGTGACCGAGTGCAAACAGAAAATCCAAGAAAAGACAGCAAAATATTGCAGAAAAAAACACCGTACACCAACACTGTGTGCAAAAATCCCACATTTGGTACAGGTGTTGCCAAAGCGATGATTTATAAGACACTTTTCTGGAACGTGTTTAAGGGTCTGAGTAATGAACGGCACCAGTTGTATCGGTGGAAGAGACCAGAAAAACCAGACGTGCAATTTGTGCAACATCGACCTGCGTCTTGTATTCGGGCTCAACAGCACAGCACCCGGGCACAGGTCTGGGGACAGTTAGAGTGGCGGCTCCTAACAAGCGAGCGACACCACTGGAACCTCATTTGCCAGTAAAATGAGGTTCCAATGGTGTAAATGCTTGACCCGAGCTCTCATACTCTGATGGTGCATTGTCTTTGAGTTGTGCGCCTTTTGGCGTCATCTGGTCCAACACCATGTGAGACTGGGCTCTAAGGAAAGCTGTCTCGGGTGTGGACCAATCAACTTTAAGGACAGTGCACATACATTATCAGAGTTGTGTTTTTTATTTGCATTATGGCTGCAGGTATTGTGGTTTATGCAAACATGACTCCTTGTAAAAAAGGTGTCAGTTTTGTTGCCAGATAGAAGGGTAAAACACCAATTATCAAGCGAGCGACACTCGCTAGAAAGCCTCTACCTGGTCTGCCACAAGGCCGTGGAAAACGTTGAAGGCGTCAACTGCAGGACATCCAATACAAATGGGCTGCACATGCACGTGTAATAAAGGTGGTGGAAGCGACTTCTGGAATCAGGGTCTTTATTTCTCTTTCGTTCACAGATCTCTTCATATAAATTCCACTACTGTCTTACTCCTTCACGCTGTTGACAGACAGCGTGAGAGGGAGGGAGAGAGAGAGACTCTTGCTGCCACGTGGCAGGCCTGGACCCCGCTCCAGCGTGGCGTCACCCTTCGTTCCAAATCTGACCACGTGTTGCCCGTCTCCACCCCTTTAAATCCCTGGGTCACGTGGTGCCTTTCAACCAGTCCTGGGTAACCTCCCTGGAATCTTCCAGATTCCATCCTACGGTCCCAGGACCACGCCCCTGACCCGTCCCCCCATTGGCTGTGGCCAAAGCCAGCAGGGCCAATCATCTCCTCCCAGGTGTCACCTTCCCATTACTTCAGGGCCACGCCCCTAGACCTCTCCCCATTGGCTATGGGCCTGGGCCGGTAGAGCCAATCATCATAACGAGGTGTGATCAATCAACCACCCGGATATACCCTCACATTACACACGTCTACAAAAGAACCTATACACAGCGCTGGTATGCAAACGTGGGTATCTGTGCCACACCTTTCAATTCAATTAAGTTGCAATTAAATCAACTTCGATTACACCCGACTCCAGCTTCTAAACTTACTTTAAATGTCCCCAGTTTCACGAGAGATATATGTTCGTGATTAAGAATGCACATAATAAGTCAAGTCAGTGGGCTACTAAGAGGTGTGCATTGTATTGACGATTCAGCTTTCATGTACTCACGGAAAACTTTGTCCAAGTAACGTAACTCTCGAAGTATCCTATTATAGTCTCCATATAGGTCTTCATTTCCTTTAGAAAAAGGCCAATATTGCAAAGTGTTACGATTGCTGAAAAAGGTCCATGTAAATTTTCCGCAAGGTGCTTTACCTAAACATTTTGTTCGTAAAGGTCTCATTTGTTAGCAATGCATCCACGAGGCTTGCAACTCAAATTACTTGGCTGTACACCACGAATCATTCCTACAAAACTAAAGCAATCGAAAACGATTTTCCTTACTCAATGGACCTCGCGCAAAGTTGACCGACTGAATTGATGAATATTCCCCAAACGCATTTTCTCGAAGGAAACTTTTATTTTAACAATCCGCGTTAAAAATCACGTGATACACATGGCACTTTAACGTAACAACTTACCCCAATGATAACCTCTGAGGCATTGTTATTGATGAGACTCTGGGCAATGTCCAATTTGTCAATGGCTTCTGTAATCGCACTCTAGGATTCACACACACAAAACATTGAACACAATTATTTTGACTATTTTGCAAGTGCGTTAAGTGCACATGTGGATAAGCATGTCACAAGTACGCATGTGTCCATGCGGGTCACGCACACGCAAATTACAATCAACAATAACCATCAACAGATATTATTTCATGAGCTGGATCAATTTGTGTCTGTGATCAAACTCAAGTGAAATATTCTACGTGGTGAATTAGTCTCATTTCACTGGAGCAGCTATGCAGTGTGAATGTGATCGCCAGTCCCAACCTGCAGAGCAAGGGATGTCCTCTGGAAAGAGTTCAAACTCTTGTTCAAAGTACTCTGAAAACAACACAAATTGTAAGCACTTATTTCTGAATTAGTCAACAACAAACACATTCCCGCGGAGGGAGCTGGTAGGAACGTTTGGTTGCTCGGTCAATGGCCAGGGTCAACGGCGGCGTGGTGTATTCCGCAAATATGCCCGACTGTGAGGGCGGGCTCAAGCCGGCGTGAGTAGGTGAAACGTTGAGTTTTATAAGGGCACCACGGGGTGACCAGCCCCTCCCCACCCAGCCCCACCCCTCCCACCCCCCCCCAGCCCCTCCCCACCCAGCCCCTCCCCACCCAGCCCCTCCCTCCCCAGCCCCTCCCTCTCCACCCAGCCCCTCCCTGCACGACGACGGACGGACGGACACAATAATCCCCTGTGGGCTGGTGTAACCAGGAGGTTCCAACTAGTATAAATTAAATAAATATTGTATTCGTACAGCACCATGTTAAAGGGTACATCAACAGCACGAGCATGAACGTTACTGCAAAAGTTTTCTGCGGTTTCGATGACGCACGGGTGTTTCCACCGTGGCAGTGCACCCAGCCTGGCACAAGCGCTGTGGTGACGTCACCGCCACTTGGTGGTGGCAAATGGCGGCTGCTGTATCGGACAAGGAACACTCCGTGTCCCACGCGTAGTGCTGACGCTGCAATGTGTTACATTTGTAGCAGCGGATGTGATGTTGAAGACTGGGGAACCCCCACCGCCATCTCTCCACAGAGGTCGCAACCGGGTACCCGATACCCGTACCCTACCCGATACCCGGCTACCCGTACCCGGCCGGGTACGGGTACGGGTAGCCGTTTGCGACCCTGGTGCGGCCGGGTACGGGTAAGGAATCAAAACCCGTTTGCGACCTCTGCCTCTCCATCAGTCACACACGGCTGGCCTGAGTGAGGTGGACCCCATTATGGGCCCTCACGACCAGCTCATCGGTGCCTGACTGTGGATCCACGCTCTGGTTACGTGGTGGGTTCAGCTCGGAGCACATTATTACAATCCATATTTCATGATCGACAAGGTTGTTGTTGTTGTTGTTAGACCGTATTTTTTGCAATACAAATATTGATACAGGAGAAACTGGATACAAGCACACTTTATATAAGCACAGTTCTGGTATAAGCAACATCAAACATTACACTGGTGGAGGGAGTTCAAGAGCAACTTCTGATACAAGCACACTTCAGATATGAGCAAACCTTGCTTTGCTCCCAATAGGTGTGCCAATTTAATAATTATTTAATAACAAAATGCCTTCCATCTCCGCTAAAACATTAGAAGGGGAACCCCTCCATAGCAGCTGTCCCTCTATGGCAAAAAGTGACTCAGAAGCAGCCTACTAAGTAGGAATCCGTCTGCCAGTGGGGGTGGTGATTGCTGCGTGTAATCCCAATTGAGAAATTTGTGATCCTTTTTGAAAATTTGGCAAATGTTGACGATGACGCCAGCGCACAACGTATGGCCCACTCTTCAAAAGATGTCACGGGATGATAATTATTTTTTTACCCTTCTATCTGGCAACAAAACTGACACCTTTTTTACAAGGAGTCATGTTTACATAGACCACAATACCTGCAGCCATAATGCAAAAAAAACCACATAACTCTGATAATGTGCACAAACCAATTATCATATTTTTTACTGGCAAATGAGGTTCCAATGATGTCACGGGATTTTTAAACGTCCACTGTGCAGCAGGCAGCACGTGCCTCACGATGTGTACACCCGCAAAACGAACCAGGGGCTGTCGGATTCGGACCGCGAACCTCCTGCAAAGGCGGTTTAGCGCTGGAATCACCACATTCACATTCTCTGCTGTACATAGAACCCAGCCACCACTACACGGTACGTAACGCTGCTAGTGTAACACGTGGTGGTATACGATGCGGGAAATGGTGAGGTGCACAACCCATTGATTGGCAAGGCATACAACCCAGGCCATCTTCTTGGTTCTTTCAGCAGCCATCCTCAGGTGAAGAACAGGTCTGTCGAGGAGACAGAGTCTGAATGACACGTCCTGGGCTTCAGGACGTGTCATTCAGACTCTTCACCTGAGGACGGCTGCTTGCGTTGTGTCCGAAACGTCGTGAGAATTATGTTATTATGTTTTATTCTTATTATTTTATTATTTCCATTCTACGTGAAAAAAGCTTTAAATCGAAACCCAGGCCATGTTATGGTGTGTAAACCAGCCATGAGTAAAGCACAAACCATTGGTAAGGTGTACACACCCGAATAGCACGATTGGCTATGTACGGTGAGAAATACGTTCAACATACATACATACTTATTGCGCAACCCAAGCCGCTGCGATGAAGTGTACAATGCCGAACATTGGTGGAGCAAAGGGGGCGCAAGGCAGGTAACCAGCAGGGCACAGTGCTCACCACGCTGCTGTTGAGAAGCACCACTTGGTTGTAGTGAATCCAGCGGATGCTCGCCGCGTGTCCCCGCAGCGCGTTCGCCAGCGCCTCGCTCTGCGGTCACAGTCGCACGCAAACGTCGATCGTGAATCAAATGTAAATCATCGCGCACAACCAAACAGAGTTGACCAAACGAGTGCCCCACGTTCGTTAATAAACACATTTCTCCTGCGGAGGGAGCTGGTAGGAACGTTGGGTTGCTCGGTCAATGGCCAGGGTCAACGGCGGCGTGGTGTATTCCGCAAATATGCCAATACTGTGAGGGCGGGCACAAGCCAGCGTGAGTAGGTTAAAAGTTGAGTTTTATAAGGACACCACGGGGTGACCAGCCCCTCCCCACCCAGCCACACCCAGCCCCTCCCCACCCTCCCCACCCAGCCCCTCCCCACCCTCCCCACCCAGCCACACCCCACCCAGCCCCTCCCCACCCAGCCCCTCCCACCCCCCACCCAGCCCCTCCCTGCACGACCGACACAATAATCCCCTGTGGGCTGGTGTAACCAGGAGGTTCCTACCAGTATAAACCCAACTCTCTAAAAATCAAACTCTTGATTTTTCCCAGAACTCTTCCCCCCCCCCCCCAAGAGGTCAACACATGAATGAGATTAAGAAATCGCAACTTTAAACATTCGTGCCATTTACGCTAACTTTAAATAGATACATTAAGGGTCTTACCAGAAAGGCCACATTTATGTACATAAAAGCATTCAAATAGGTTTTACACTGCAGCACTGTGAATTAGATTTTTAAAAAACATAACACGTTAGCTATGATTAAAATCCCATATGCATCTGCACACTTTAGTTTGGCTCATTCCACACTTCAGCTGGGAAAAACCTGAGTGAAACCACATGCAGATTTTTCAAAGCATTGAAATAGAAATACACTTGAGAAAATGAAAGCGTACAAGCTTGACAACACTCACCAGGTGTTTAGCTTTTTCGCTGAGTTCATCGGCAAACAGAAGCAGATCAACCTCGGAAATGCCTTTGTTGAGCTGTAAGGAAATTAAAAACACAAACTTTAACGTGCAATGTTCTAGACCAGGCGGCACGACATGCACAGCAGATAAAAACCCACCCAACTATTTCAGCACAATATTTCCAACTGGACATTATGCAATCATTGAAGGCACATATCACGATGTCTAAGTGACGCAGTGGTTCAAGGGGTTTGGAAACGCTTGCTTTAGACAACTTGGCAGTGCAAATGTTCAGTCATGGACCATGGCTCCCACAAACCAGGGCTGTGGTATTTTCCACACACTACAAAAGACATTGATTGTTAATACCTCCTTACCACCTCAGTGAGATATTTCAATTAATCAACAAAGTGAGGACATCGCCCATTTATATTTCTGATTGTAATTTACGAAACAAAAAAAAACTTCCACGATGCAATTCCCAAGTTGTGTTTTGTCCTTCTCAACGAATGCATCGTGCAGTTAAACTGCAGCGTGGGTTCCAGGAACTGCCCCTGCGTTTGGGTCCCTGTTGTTCACAGCCAGATGAGCCGGGACTACGAGCGAGGGCATCACGCTGATAGTTTATTATTACTACCGGCATCATATCGTCTTAGCAACCACGATCCTCCTCCCGCAGTGTTCACGGCCATGAGAAGCACTGCCCGGGACCCCTTGCCGTGGGATATTTATAATGTTTCATTGCGGAGAGCGGCTATAATTCCACAAACCACCACCCCCCCCACCACCTCCCGAATCCTTTCAAAGCAAAAACAAAAACGGATGGGCACGTGTAATTATATTTTTCCAAGAATGGAAGGCTACGTAAAAAAAAAAAAGAAACTGCATTATACGTGTACACAAACACCAACATCATTACACAGCTTTACCCAGTAAAATATGAAGTTTTTTTAAAACTATCTAACAGCATGCCACCTTGCACCGATGAATGCTTCTCGTGTGTGAAGGAGAAGCCGACACAAGGTGGCAGGGGCTTCGTCCTGTACTCCCCTTCTCCCATCCACAGCTGTCCCCAGCCGTCTCAATCTCGCTCCCCTCTTCCCGCCCGTGCTCTCCCTCACGTCTCCTCGATTAGCCCTCCCCCTTCTCCTGTCACTGTTCCACTAACCCTCCTATTGGTGGGAATCCTTCCCCTGACACCCCTACACACGTGTACAGGTGTAGTGGGTGACACCACGTCACGCGCGCCCTCGTAGAGAGCGGCGTCGCGGGATGTGACGTCAGGCGGGGGGCCGTGGGTGACGGTGACGTCATGCCCCAGGGGGGTATTTAAAGGGGGACCCGGGATGGAACCGGGGGTTCGTCGGGGGTAGGAGTGGGGACTCGGGTAGGTGATCCTCACACGAGACTAGGGGAGGCTACTCCGCCGAGGTTGGGGTAGTCCCGGGCCGGGGCAGGGTGTAGAGCCGAGTTAGCCGGCGTTGTAGGGATCACGGTACCCTGTCCCATGGGGAGTTGTAGGCTAGGCTGGTTTGGTTCGGCGTGAGCCTTTAACCACCTGGCGTGAGCCCTTAACCACCTGGCGTGAGCCCTTAACCACCTGGCGTAAGCCCTTAACCACCTGGCGTGAGCCCTTAACCACCTGGCGTGAGCCCTTAACCACCTGGCGTAAACCCTTAACCACCTGGCGTGAGCCCTTAACCACCTGGCGTGAGCCCTTAACCACCTGGCGTGAGCCCTTAACCACCTGGCGTGAGCCCTTAACCACCTGGCGTGAGCCCTTAACCACCTGGCGTGAGCCCTTAACCACCTGGCGTGAGCCCTTAACCACCTGGCGTGAGCCCTTAACCACCTGGCGTAAGCCCTTAACCACCTGGCGTGAGCCCTTAACCACCTGGCGTGAGCCCTTAACCACCTGGCGTGAGCACTTAACCTCTTCTTCTTAGCGTTGTTCCCGCTGTGGCGCAGGGTCCGCTTTTCGGCATTGTCTTCTCCATTTGGCTCGGTCCAGGGCATCTTCAGGGGATACGTTGACCGTCTTTATGTCTTCCTTTATTCGATCCATCCATTGGACGTCCGCGTGGACGGCGGCCCTCTGGCTCAATACGCATGGCAGTCTTGGCCACTGATGACTCTTCACTTCGCATCACATGGCCGTACCACCGAAGCCTTGCCTCAAGCATCTTGTCCGCAATGGGGGCCACACCAAGTCGCTTCCGAACGTCTTCGTTCATGACACGATCCCATCGAGTGAGTCCGAGGCTCCATCTGAGCATCCTCATCTCCATGGTGTGGAGAGCTTGTTCGTGTACAGTTGTGGCTGGCCAGCACTCGGATTCATAGAGTGCCACCGGTCGGACGATGGTCTTGTAAATTTTTCCCTTCAGCCTATCCGGCATTTTCCTATCACAGAGGACTCCGGTGACTTTCCTCCACTTCATCCATGCCGCATTGACTCGTGACCTCACATCAGTCGTGATGCTACCATCTGAGCTGATGGTGGAGCCCAGGTACTTAAAGTCCGTCACTTTCTTCAGATCTTCTCCGTCAATGCTGATGGTGCCGTCGGTTTGGGAGCCACACTCCATATACTCTGTCTTTTTGATGTTGAACCTCATCCCGTTTTCGTCCAAACGTTCCTTCCACAGGCGCGTTTGTCTTTCCACTTCTCCTCTCTCTTCATCTGAGAGGAGGACGTCATCCGCGTAGAGAATTGACCATGGCAGGGGCGTGTGCAGGTCGGCAGTGATCGTGTCCATGCACAGGATAAACAGGAGTGGTGACAGGGCCGATCCTTGGTGCACTCCAACGCTGATGGGAAATGGCGGCAATATGCCCACTGCACACCTGACTGCACTGGTGACGTTCTTGTATAGGAGTTGCACCCAATGCACGTAGGTTTCAGGGACTCCATGGGATCGAAGCGAGTGCCAGATGAGGTCGTGGGGGACCCTGTCAAATGCCTTTTCAAGGTCGAGGAACGACACGTGCACAGCTTTGTTCTTCTCTCTGTGCCTCTCCAGCAGGAGCCTCGTGGTGGTGGCTGTGTAATTATTTGAAAATATTTGTATTTCTCTTAATTTCAACAGCTTGTATAATTATTATTGGCCAGTAGTAAGACTCAAATAACACCAAGGAAATATGTCGATGTTTGTGTGAAACGAATTGTTATTGGCCACGACTATTTAGATCATGATTATTAGTTTTGTACCCTTCTATCTGGCAACAAAACTGACACCTTTTTACAAGGAGTCTTGTTTGCATAGACCACAATACCTGCAGTCATAATGCAAACAAAAAACATAACTCTGATAATGTATGCACTGTCCTTGAAGTTGATTGGTCCACACCCGAGACAGCTTTCCTTAGAGCCTAGTCAACTTCAAGGACAGTGCATACATTATCAGAGTTGTGTTTTTTCTTTGCATTATCACTGCAGGTATTGTGGTCTATGTAAACATGACTCCTTGTAAAAAAAGGTGTCAGTTTTGTTGCCAGATAGAAGGGTAAAAAAAAAACAATTATCAGCTTTTTACTGGCAAATGAGGTTCCAATGGTGTATTTAGATCATCTTTTGAAATTGAGAGAAATAAAAAAAATACATTTTAACAGCTACAGTCTCAGTGCTGCTGGGAGCGTATTATTTAGTAATACACCATTGAATGCATGCTTATCTAACTAATCTAACTAACTATAACTAACCCAACCGGTAATATGCACTGCATATTCTCAAAATAACAATCCATTGTATGCTCATTAAATGTCACCAACCCAGCTGGTGTTATGTACTGCATATTTTCAGATTAATAGAATTCGTTGTAATTTATACAATTACATTGACTCCCCTCTGGACTTTGCACCTGAGCGTCTGAAACGCTGTCTTCCCGTTTCAGACGCTGCCTTCCCGACAGACCTGTTCTTCACCTGAGGACGGCTGCTTGCGTTGTAGCCGAAACGTGGTGAGAATGATTTTATTATTAAATGAGAGATTGCAAGAGCTACCACTCCGTATATATAATGGTTGGAGAGGGGAAGGGCCAAGTACGGCACACTTTTTATATAAACGGAGTGGTAGCTCCTGCAATCTTTCATGTACTTGATACGGCTGTCGTGGCTGTGACGGTTCCACCTGAAGACGGAAGCTTGTGTTGCCTCCGAAACGTCGTGCATTTTATTTTATTTTACTTTTATTAATTTTGATGTTTTACCTACACGGTGACTTTACCGAAAAAACCTAAGAATATGAATCCTTGCAGTCACGAAAGCTTCAAATCTAGAATTGCAGAGAGTTGTACCTGTAAATATCCGCCCCGAGGCCAATACAGTCTTTTGATTTGGAGTGCTTTTTGAAACGTGAGGTTTGCCTGAACTGGAATTGTGTAAAGTGTTGTGCATTTTTGATGCGAAGCTCTGTGCGCGTGTTTTTTTTTCACGTAAATGTAATTACAGGCCAGCGACATCAGACTTTTCGTCCTGAGACGGCGGGCTAGAGATTTGATCCAGACGTCTTGTCTCCGTGCACGCCTCGACGACGATGATGAAGCTACGCCCCCCGGTCCTGTTCCTCTCGCTGCTGCCCACCGTCTTCTTGCTGCTGAGCGTCGCGTACAAGTTCCGCAGGACTGGCTCACTCGTTCGCGACGACCGCCACGCGCTCAGCAACTCGTCCGTCTTGACGCCAAAGCCGGGCTCCGCTTCAGCTAAGATCGACCGCGTGACGCTGTGCGGGCAACGGGGAGCGCTGCAAGACACGTCCATCGTGCGCGTGCCTCACACCAACACATTCCTGGTGTCGGCGTACCACGACCTGCGCGAGGGCGGTCGGAGCACGCGTGTCATCGGCATCGCCAACCGGTACGAGCCGGACGCGCTCTCGTGCCGCTTCTGCTGCCGGGGGCGCTCGGGGATCGTGACGGTCACCGCCAGCACCTACATCCACTCGGATCACTTCGACTTCCCGTACGGCGCGGCCGACTTCCTGTGCACGGAGCCGCCGGGCTGTGCGCCGCGACACGTGTCCGTCCGGCGGGCGCGCGCAACACCGGGCGAGGAAGAGGCCGAGTGGGTGTTCATGCCCGTGCGAAATCGGCTCCGCGCGCCCCGAACCTTCACGCGGGAATTCAGCGTCTGCATCTCGACGCTCTTCGGCAACTACGGCAACGCGCTGCAGTTCGTGCAGGCGATCGAGATGTACCGCATCTTGGGCGCGGGCCGCGTGACCGTGTACAACACGAGCTGCAGCTCCGAGCTGAACAGAGTGCTCCTCTACTACGTCGAGACGGGCCTCGTCGAGGTCGTCCAGTGGCCCATCGCGGACTACGTGCGAGTGTCCAAAGGGTGGCACTACCCCGAGCACCCGGGCGAGCTGCACTACTACGGCCAGATAGCGGCGCTCAACGACTGCGTGTATCGGCACATGTACAGCACGCGCTACCTGGTCCTCACGGACATAGACGAAGTGATCGTCCCGTTGAAGCACGCCGACTGGAAGGACCTCGTACGGCACTTGAACGACAGGTACGGAGCCGAGATTTACTTGTTCGAAAACCACGTGTTTCCCGACACGGCGTCGGAAGAGTTTGGGTCGAAGTTCCAGGCGTGGGACGCCATCCCGGGCGTCAACATCATGCGCCGCATCAGACG